ACACCACAGTATGGCGAAACCCCCTGCTTTGAGTCCCATAGCAACAGCACAGTGGAATACCGTCACGCCAAACACCCAACTTAAAATGGACTCTGCCACTCCCCACGCCATTCCTCCTTCCTCTACCTTGTGCTCCGAATGTCCGATCCAGGCACCTCCACATCCATGTCCCTGGAATACAGATTGGTTCACACCCTCGCCTCCTTCAGGCTGTCACGCGAATGCCATCTTCTTACTCCTGGAGAATCACATCACCTTTCACCTTCACATCTTCTCGTGATTTATTTTTCTCTAAATAGCTTATCGCCATACTGACTAGTACATACTTTAATTATTTCATAATCTCCCTCTCCCTGACAGCTCCTAGAGAGCAAAGATCTGTCTGTTTTATTCACTGCTCCATCTCCAGGGCCCGGGACCATGCTCGACACAAAATATACCATCAAAAACCATATAGCTCAGAGCACGAAGTGCTATTAGGGCAGTGGGCTTCTACTCCTCAGCCTTCAGATCCACTGGGGCCGCACTCCGGGGCTTCCTTTAGAAGGCAAAAGCAGAGTCATCTCCCAGAGCAACCCAAGTCTGCTGTCTGGTGTGGCTGAAAACCACACATTCTTCTGCACACCTGCTCAGAGGCAGCAGCTGTGGAGCTGATGGAAGCTTGTTGGAAGAAACCAGACCTAATTACTTGGCCTTGTTGCCCTGGTGCCTACTCTCACAGCCAGGTGTAGGCCCAGCAGAAGGGAGTTTTGAGGGACATTAGTTAACACTGATACCTAAACCAGTCAACCTGAAAGTAGATAGTAATTGCTGGAGGTTGGGAAGGGTGTGGAATGATGGGGAGTGTGTAGAAAGGAGGTTAGATTTGAACAGGGCCTGCTGTGTGCCTGGATGGAAATGTCACTCACACTGACCCCCATTAATATGTACAATTAATACATGTTAACCAGAAACTTTAAAACGGTAAAAAAGTGATCCGTAGTCTGATGGTGGCTTTGAAATCTCAGACCTACTTGTCCTTTGAAAGCCTGTTACGTCCTTTGAAAGCCTTCATCGTCCTTTGAAAGCCCACTATGATCTTGATCCTAGTAAAAGACACTAGCAGCAGTGTTGAACAGGCAAATGATCCAGACCCATGGATAAGAGCACCACCTGGGATCATATGAAAACGTAGATTCTAAGCCTGAGCATGTGAGTCTGTTCTGCTAGCAAGATTCCCAGTGATGCTAAAGGAGGGAGCCCAGAATCACCCTTGGAGTGGTGAGGTTCGTGAGCATTTCACTTCTGGGAAAGGAAGAGCTCATCCTCTTCTGAATCAAAAACATTTCAAAGCACGATTTTATTACACACAACTGCATGCCTGGGTAGGATAGCTGCAATGACTCAGCAGTGGTTGAATACAATGAATGTGTTTGCATTTAAGTTATGCGTGCGTCAACTATACACCAGCCTTTGATATGGCGAGTGAGTTGGGTTCCTGGGGAGACACTGAACAGTGGGTAGGTTTCAGTTCAGAAACTCTTCTTAGATAAGATGGAAAGTTTTCTTCATAGAGCAAAAGCACAAACAGCACAGAGGAGGTGACGGGAGGCTAACAGGCCCTGCAACAGACACTTCTGGGCCAGGCATCCTGTCCTATTTGTTGACTTCCATTTTAAAGTAGTCAGGGCTGCAGGTGTAGGAAGACCCACTTTACAAGGACACGGGGTGAGGAGGCCAAGTGACACGAATTGTACGTAGTCAAGTCCAAATCTGCTTTAAGACTCAAGTGCCTGTGCCCACCCCATACCAGCCTCCTGTGAAGGGCACAGGGAGCCACTTCAGGAGAAGCAGATAGAAAGGAGACCACTGACCTGTGCAGAAGGCCAAGTCAGGCTTATCTGTAGAGGATCAGGGAGAAGGGGATTTTTGAATACCTACAAAGGAGTTTCCATGTGGACAAGTAGTTTGTTTGTTCTTTTTTTTGAGACAAGATCTTGCTATGTGGGTCAGGCTGGCCTTGAGCTCACTTTGTAGCCCAGGCTGGTCTTGAACTCGCAATGATCCTCCTGCCTCAGCCTCCCGAGTGCTGGGATTACAGGCCTGTGCCACCACGCCGGGCAGTTTGTTTGCTCTAACCCATCTTGTAGCTTAATGTGCAGCAACGGTTTATTTGGTGGGCCTGGGATCACCGAACTCTGCACATTCTGAGAAAAAGTCTGACCCTTGACTGGCTCATGAGAGACAATCTTAAACCCGGGAAGTTCCCTGCCTGATGGGGGTGCCTTCGTTTACCTCGTTGCCTGAGTCATGCTAGACAGTTTATGCCAACAGTCTGGTTGTGCGGTCTCAGTTTGACGTTCGGCAGGGCTGCAGAATAAGTAACTAAAGTCAGCCACATAGGCACCCCCTGTCCAAAGGACGGAGCACTCCAATACCCCCAGGTACCAAGGCTTGTGTGGGCTTCCCGGTTGCCAGTAATCCATACATATTGTCACAAAGCCTTGCTGGGAGAATTAAGCACTGAGGCACCAGTCCCCAGCAGGGAACAATGGGACTGTGCACCTGGTCTGTCCTGGACCGTGTCTTATGCACCTTCACTAATTTTAAACTGTATCCCTTCTGTGTAAGAAAACATAACCCTGAGTATCACAGCTGTTCTACATTTGTCAGTTCTTCAAGCAAATCACTGAAGCTGAAGGTGATCTTGGGGATGCCCCACAATATTTAAAGAATTTAGTACCTGCCAACAGAAGGCCCAACAGGCCCGACAGGAGGGTGTGGATAGAAGACTATCGCTTTGGTTTGACCAGCGTCTATTGAGCACTTAACTACACACTAAGCATTACTAGTCATCAGGATACAAAGGTGAGCCCCTCAGAATTCCTAATCTTCAAGCCAACTTAGTTCCTGAGGGGATCCCAAGGAAAACAATGATTTCGTCTGCAAGTGCTAAATGCCACAAGACACATCATGGTACCCTGTGGCTTAGGGAAGGGCATAGAATCCCCGCTGAGCAATCTGGGCAGGGCTTCCTGAAGTCCCCTTGAAGTGTCACCTGTGGTATTTTGGGGAGCTGGTTACAGATGTTGGAGCTGCCTTTCTACAATTCTCTTGCAGTTCTCACTTTAGGGATATTTGTGCTTAGAGGCACTGGGGCTGGGGTGACGGGGAGTCAGTGTGCTTGCCACAAACCCAGTTCTCTGCTAAACTCAGTGGAGGGCCCAATTCATCACAGGTGAGGAAATCAGAGTTGCGCTTCATTGGTGAGAGAAGAACAGACTGTTTCTTTGTGGCTTAATCCAGGCGGTGAACAGGCCCTGGGGTATTTTGCCTCAGACGGCTGCTGGTGATGCCACCCACCCTCAGGTCAGCTCTCCCCATCCCTTCACCCTCACCAGCAAGGCAGAACTCTTCAGTTCCACCCAGTTCCTTTCAAAGGTAGTAAGGCTGGAAGGTCTTGTGCGCTTAAGGTCAGTGGTGTTTCCATTCTTGTTCTCTTCCAAGAGACACCGCTATCCAGATAGGTGTGTGTGGCTGGGGCGTTAGGATTCTGGGTTTTCATTTCTTCAAGTTCTTCTCCACTCGCATCTTTCCTCTGTCTCTCCCATACAGCACCTACCTTTGACCTGCACTTACTTTTGACGTGATCTATTGTCTACTTCTATTACTGCCAAGATGCCTCCTTATAGTCTAAAATTCACTGCTTACATTGTGTTTGTCAGACTAGATTCACACAGGTGGGTCTTCATGTGCAATGCTCAGCATGGTGCACTTCTTCCCACAGAGGCTACCAGCCGTGCTATTACCTTGGAGACTGTAATTCGTGTCACACCCACCTGGCCACTCTTCCGATGTACCACAGGGATGCAGCAATATAGCTCTCCTGTAGAATGCCTTCCTCTCCCTTTGGTATCCCACCTCCAAGGGACAGCGTTCCCTCTTTCACTGCCTACCGTCTATATTTGGGGAATTGTTTGCTCTATGAATCTGGTGGGCGGCAGAGCTCAGTACCCAAGAGAGAAGCTAAAAAGGTTCTACATCTGTTCCCTTGGCCTCCTTCAGTAGTGCACCCACCTGGGACTCTGACGCAAGAGCTGCTGCCTGAGAAAAGCAAGGGTGCATTCTGGTGGAAGGGGCAGAGGCAGCCGCATGCATCTCAGGGTGGGGGCCGCAGCCAGGCAAGCCCTGGTGTCCAGAGGCCAACAGTCCTCAGGGTCCAGGTGGCACCGGGGTGTAATTCCAGCTGCCTGCTTTTTCCTACATATAATACAGGCTTCCAGCTCCCCGTGTCTTTTCAGGAAGTTACTTTTCCCCCTACATCATAGAGTCAGTTTCTTTCACTTAAACTTAGAGATACCGATTCAGAAATAAGACCACTTAAGAAGCACTTTCCTCCAATCAACTTCCATTTCCCCCTAGCTTTCCTACAAAGGCATGAGCCAGAACTTTTAAAAGGTAGGTGGGTAGAAAGGACCTGTAACTCTAAGTTAGGAGAAAAGATGATGAAGACAACTAGAAAATAGGTTGAGGAACTAGAATGGAACTAGTAATTCTAGCATCTTGTAAAACCTTTTAAAGAGTTTTTTTTTTAAAAAAAAAAAAAACAACAACCTTGTATTAATGCCAGTAATATGAGAAGAGGAACAAGTTTCCATCTTTTTCTCTTTAGAATCCCTCTCCATCTTTCCCCCTCTCACTCAACCTCAAGGCATGTACCTTTGGCCTACATACGATTAAAATGTTTACTGTCAATTTCCTTCTGAATGAGAGCTTTCAGTGGCTATCTCTGTAAGAGCTGTGCTATTTATTTCTATACAAAACCCAAGGGAACAATATTGTTCTCTATCAAATACTACAGCCTCTGTGCTCCCCAGTCCCCATAATCCTCAAGCAGACAGAAGACACAATTGTTTAAAACACACAACATGATCTTCTTTATTTAATTGTTTAATCAGTTTACATTCCACAACTGACAGATTATTTATTTTTATTTTTCCATGAACAAGTCATTTAATTAATTACCAGACACTTTTTTTTTCTTCAATCGATGGAAATACAGTATTTCTGCCAATTTGAAAAAGAAAATTGCAAGATGCAGTCAGTTTTAGTGAAGTCCCCAAATGCTCTCTGCTTCCTCAGTCCTTTCAAAGTCACAGGAACCTGGCAATTTCCCTTTTCATCCCCCCTCCCACATCCCTGCTAAATTGCTCTCAGAATATCATAAGAGTTTCAAGATCTGGTTTGGATCACCTTTCCTGTAATTAATTAATTATGAGAAGGAACAGACAGTACAATAGATCTGATAAGATGTAGCATTCTGTTAAGATTAAACAATACATTTATTCACATCGTATCAGAACAAATTAACATAATATTTAATCTTATTTTAGCACCAATAACCACAGGAATTGCTACCTTCAAGGGGAGAGTCATTTTTAGAATCCTGCAGTATATACCACTCCTTGTCTAACCAATCAGAAAGCACTATGCAAATTAAAGGGAAGGTAAATAATTGATATTGACTGAGCCATAATCTAGTGGACCATAAACACTCCAGGTGTTTTGAGAGCTTTGTCGGTGATGGTCCCTGTCTAATGACCATATATAAAACATACTCACCAAATTGGCTTATTTTCTTTCACTTGGTTACACAGGACTCAGAATATTATATTTTAAACGAATCAAACTTTGTCACACTCTTTGAAAAGCTGTGAGAATGCCCAGGTGTTGGTAGCTTGTATTTTATTCTACTCTCCTTGCTAAGGTCTCACTACTTGTCTTTTTCTCCCAAACAAAAGTTTCTCCAAATCTACAAAAGGTCTCTAAGCAGAAAGGAAAGGTGGGCAGTGGTAGCCTAAGTCACAGTGCGAGGACAGAACTTGTCACCTCTACCTCCTCAGAAACCTTATTTCTCATCAGCCTGTGGCTGCCCCTCTTTCCAGTGTTTCTACTTTTTAGCATTTGATTTTCAGATAAAAATGTATGCAAATTGAGGGAAGGAGAAAACGGCTCCAAATATTGCCAAGATGTTCTTAGCAGGTGACCTCATCGGATTCATAAGGTTGTGGAGTGCTTTACTCTTCCCAGGGAAAGGCTGAAATAAAGGACATCTGAATAAGAGAGGGCAGTGGCTGATGCTCCTACAACCAAAGAACATGACCTGTTTCACCCTCTAGGACTTGGACTGTCATCAGGGCCATACCCAGGGATCATGCCGGCACCCTCTGGGGCACATGTGACATGCAGTTCACAGCAGTGACCTTCTCCTCTTACTAAGCAGATAAAGCAAGACAGCAGCTTGGACACAGCTGTATAGGCTTTTTACTCTCAACTGATCCACCTCCCACCTCTGTTAGCTACAATGAGACCTATGACATGAGTGACTCACCAGTAAGGGCCATCCTACCTTGTTCCCTAATAAAGACAATCAATCTGCACTGTCCAGACAGTAACCGAAGCCATGTGTGGGAGATGCGAGTGATCTAAATTGAGATGTATTCTCAGTGTAAAATTCATATTGGAGTTAGAAGAGCTCATCAGAAAAAAATTTAGAAAATCATAAAATATCGCAGTAACTTTTTTACGTTGAGTCTATGTTGAAGTGATGTTTTTGATATGTTCAGTTAAGATAAAGTATGAAAATTAATTTCATCTGTCTCATTGGACTTTTGAAAATGTGGCTATTAAGATTCATGACTTGTAGTATGTTTCTATTGGACAGTGGTGGTAGAAATCACTTTCTGGAAGCTGGTCCCAGAGATGATCACCATGGACCATCACAGAAGATGAAGGTTAGACTGAAGGTGCCTATAACCATGGATTGGAAGGGGCGCTGAGCTCAGTGTACATCCCCTTTTTGGGCTGCTCTTGCGGGCAGGCATCCCTTTGTACTGGAGGATTTCCCATTCCCTACTTATCCCTGCTAACTCTTAGCATTGGAGGCCCTTCTCTGTTGCTATATTGAAGGCATTCTGGTGACTCAGCTACTTCTCTATTGGAAAGTTCCCTGTATCTGACCATCACCTCCAGCCTGCAGAAGTCCGTGGCCTTCAATCCTCCACCACCAGCACTCTTTCATTCCCACTTGGTGGTATCCCTTCACCAGACTCCCTGCTCCTGCACTGGGAGAGCCCTACTTGTAGATCTAGTCACATATTACAAGCAATGTATATCTATCATCTCTGATGCTTTCTCCTACCCCAGCCCAGCATAGAAAGCTCTGTCAGTAACGTCAATAAAGTGAGATCATCAAAGTGGGTTGGAAAAGGCATCTGAGAATGAAAAGGTTGATAAAAGGTTATGGACTCCGACCACAAACTGGCTGTTCTCTTAAGCTTACTTTCTGAGGAGTGAAAAATGTAGGGGAAGAGTGGCAGGGGTAAAATCTCTCTGGATTTACCACAAGGCAGTCAGCATACACCAACCAGCATGGGCACAAAGTCTCTGAAAATAGCAGCAGAATGGACCAGGAGACATGGTGTCCAGGAGTCCCCAAAGACCCCCACCCTGTTAGGCTGAGAGGATATGGAGACACCACGAGGTAACAGAATTCACCCGAGGCCCCAAGTAAGCTGTGACAAAGTTTCTAGTGCCGCCCCAGGGTTGGGTCTTGGTGTCAACCTCTGCCTGACCTTCATCCTACTGAACTGGATGATATGCTTTTGCATTTGGGAGATATAATTTTCCTTAACGGCAAACCCCCTTAGAACAGAGTTCTAAGCAGACACTAGTGACTCAGAGAAGCAATCAGAAGTCTCCTGTGCCATGGTGTCTGTCCCTCCAAGTGCCACCAGACACAGGATTGCAGGGCAGTCCACTTACATCCTCAGAAAACTGAGGGCTACATCATTGCGTCTGAGTAGTTGCGATACCCCTCCCCTTCATTTTCAGGTTCCATTTTTATTTGTACATTTTTACAGATAGTCTTGAATAGCAAAACAGTCACATGTGGGTGGAAGGGGGAAAGGCAAAAGGCGAAAGGGTGTCCGCGAAAGCTCTCTGCGTGAAAGGCCGCATCACACTCACGACACAGACACACCGGCACACACAGATGAGAGGGGGTCTCTGGGCCACCCGAGAGGAAAGGAAAAGCTTGGGGTATAGGAGAGAGAGGGGGCACAGGGTTCCCTAGGGAGCAATGCCATTCCTTGGGCAAGAAGAGTAGGAGGCTGGCATCTGTCAAAGAGGTGCCAGCTTGAGCTGCCACTGGGCAACTCCCGGGTTGAGGGCCATTGTTCTGGTTCTTGAAACTGAACATGCACCTGTGCAGATGGCCGCTTCCCCCATCACTGGCTGGGCTGTCATTACAAAGCGAGCAATGGCTCGGAATCCCCTCGCGGAAAGTCTCAACACAACACTGACGCTTGATTCACTGCAAAGCAGAAAGTGCAGGGAACCTTTCCTCATCTCGAATCTAGGATTCTGTTTTTTTCCTAACAAGACCCATACTCGGAACATGTCTTAGTGAATGAACCATCCAGGGGACTTTTATAAAAACCCACAGGCTTCTGATAAAGTCATTAACTTCATTTGATGATGAGATCATCAAATGAAACTTTGATGAAAGCCTTTTAGAATCTGATTCACTCCCACAGCTTGGGCATGTACAGCTGGAAATCATGTCAGGAGAACTGTTAAAAACAAACAGGTCCTAACCACATGCTGTGGTTAAAAGTCAACTGTTTCAGCTCACCTGTGCTCTTTGTCTCCCGTGGTTTACTCCTTCCCTCACTTCTGGAAATAGCCCAGAGGGATGAGACGCCCCTTGCAAAACTGGCTTTGAACAAAGAAAGTCTGGAAATGGATAAAGTAAGCTAGGGGGCCAGTTTCCCTGGAGGGCCCAAATGAAGGAGAAAAAAATCTCATGTGCTTCGGCGAGCTACGTACAACCAGCAACCAGGATGACCTCTCTCTGCAGAGGGAAGAATTCTATCTCAGTGGGTGGCTCCGCTGCTGTGGGGTAATTTGATCAGTGCATAATTCATGTGACACTTCATGTTTGCAAATCACTTTGCAAGTTCTCTGTCACCCTTAATATACCATGAGGTAAAGTGTTATCACTATCCTCATTTTGTAGATGAGGAAGTTCAAGTATGGAGGAGACACAGTGCCCAGAGTCACACATCATTTTAGTGCAGAGCAGAAATGAAATTTACAGTAACTACGTTATACAAGTGTAGCTTAGTTAGTGAGTGACTCTGGCTTCAGTACTCTTATACCCATGATTAGACTGAGGTGGTTCCTGGAGAAAAGAGCAAGTAGAAGAAAGAAAGAAAACTCCCCCAAATAGGAATCTTTTAGCCCTGTTCCACCCGCCCTCTAAGTCTGGCATTGAGCTTTCAAAGGCCTTTTTGCTATCTTTGGGGACTCAGAGGCCTATGCTCCTGCTGCCAAGGATTCCGTACGGGCCAGTGTGATTCTGTGGCCATGTAAAGTCCTCCTAGCCTCAACTGTCAAACCGAAGATGACCACTAACTAGGGAGGATTTGGGGTCATGGCCACTGTAATTGAGCACACTGACGATGCCTCAGAGTGATAGAATTATGACCACTCTGTGTTGTATTTTATTTTTCTAATCTACAATGCGCATGTATTACACTGGAGAAAAACCCAATAATCAATAACAACATATTCTAAGAACTAGGAATAATGTTTCAAAAACAGTTTGCACCATGGCAACATCAATGAGAAGATAAGAAATACAGCCCCAGAAGTCAACTGCTTCGAGACCTCAAAATCATTTGTATGCCTCAACTTTTGTGGGCCTGCTTAAAAATCTGTCCCCTCCCTCTGTCACATACCAGCTGGAAGGCAGCACCAAAGACAATTCAGCTGGTATGCACCAGTTATTCCTGTCTGTGGGAAAATAAGCTCTCACCCTGACTCATCATATTTCCCCGGAAAGGGTTGGATGTGTTCATGGGGATGCTTAGTCTCTAGAGCAGAGGGAGGATCGTAGAGAAGCAACTTCACTCAAACTATGTGAAGCGTCCAACTATCCCACAACAGCCACACCAAAGGATGACCAGCCACTTCCAACAGGTACTTGAAAATTAGTTAGTTAATGCGCTCAGCATAAGCCAGGTAAAGACAGTCCATTCTAAATGCCTCTGAGTACTGTATTTTTTTCATTATTTTGAATTTGACTCAGGTAGGTGGCTTTGGAGATCCAATTGGCACATCCTCCTGTGAAATCAGGGCAGCCACACATGGGTGGTACTTTTCCGTTAGGCCTCTTATCATGAATGTGGGCAAGAATTGAGACAGAGCATCAAGATACCCTCTCTTCTTATGGAAAGAAAGGCAGCACCACTGGGTGGATCCACTCACCCCCAGTGAGAGATTACACCAATATGGCGCCAGGGCCCCAGGTGCTGTGCAGGGGCATGAGGTTAAGAAAAGCTGATCGGTTCCCACTTGGTGCTGTCCAGTCTTTGTGCCTTCATGATCTCTGGAGGTGAAATGGTAGAGTTGTTGAAAGGCTAAGGCTTGTGGAAGGACTGGATTGAAGCTGGAAGAGGCACAGTTTATATTTTTTGCTTTTTTTTTTTACATTTTATATTTAATGCCAGTGCACTACAGATCTCCTCACAGAACCTACAGCCACAACAAACTAGGGGACAGCTTGGGGTCTATCTCTAGCCTCTTTAGAGAAGAAGTAACTACTTTAAATGACAAAAGCTGATGAGGACAGAAAATATAAATGAATGGTGAAAGAGGAAACAGAAATAGGAAAATATTCCTTCCAAAGGAAGAGAAAAGAAATAGGATTTCTCTCCAGGAGACATCCCACATTCTCAAATCCCTAATTCACTAGGGAGGAAAGGAGGTTGACTTACTTGGAGCTTGCAGTACATGCATGATCATATCCCTTGTATGCATACAACTATGAGGAATTTGAACTTGATCTAGATCGCAACCAGGAGCCTTACTGAGGCTATTGATCCTGACTCCCCTTAGAAGGTCCTGGGAGTTGCAGTTAGTAGTGTCTGACCTAGAGAGCCTCCTAGGTCAAGGCTCTTTTCTTCCTTGTCCATTGCTCCTTTCTCAGCCACCTCACAGCCAGAAAGTTTTCGTCACTGCTTAGAGGGGCACGTTTTTACTTGTGGTCAAACTCCTATGTATGAAGGGTCAAGATCATCTTGGAAATTTCCCATTGGCCAGAACCTGCCAGCTCCACAGTGGCTTCCACCCTGACCACGACGTGGTTGGGAATGGTTTTTGCTCCCAAGCGAGAGTAGACCCCAGAGTGCTCATCTGTACTGATCTGAACCCACTATCAAAACAGCCACTCTGTGGCCCTGCTCTGCTGATGTGAGTTGAGAGAGATGCTTTACACTTTTCTTGGGCATCCTCCTAACATTTCAGGGATGCTCAAGTTTCAAAGAGGTGCAGTAAACTTCGTCAAAGGCCTGTCACAAAGGTACGTAATTGGATAGAGCACATGATTTATTTATGGCAAGCATGGAATTTTAAAAAGGTATAACTTTGGGTCTAACAGGCAGTACCTTGAAATGTGGTTACTTATGTTATAGTTGATAGCAAATCATCCCCTTTAGCATGATTTCCCCTGCCTTTCTGCAACTAGAAAACAACTGGAATTTGCATCTAGTTATAGAAAATCCCCCTCATCCAAATGGATGCTTGCAGACACCTGCCTGTCCCTGCTTGTTTCAAGATACTTGGAAGGAAGACACAAGGCCTCTCAATCTGAGATACTTTTCTTCACTTTTCCTCAAGCCCAATTATGTCCTTTCCCTTAAGGGAGAAATCTAACTTTAAACAAAAAAAGAAAATAAAATTCCCAAATGAAAAATGATTTTCTTGCAAATCATTTCCCTTCTCATAGAATAGATCCTTTGTCTTAAAAAGTAACCCCTAGAAACCTCAACTATAAGCCAACAGACTTTTTTGCTACCCAGCTCACCCCTATTGCCCTGCACACCCACACCCAGGCACTCACACATGAGACCTCTTGCAGAAGCTGACCAGGGTCCCTGGCGAGGAAGTCTTGAGCAGAGCACCCACACCTGCGTGCAAGTATGTACTGACACAAACATAAAAATGCACAGAGAGAGACACACTCTCACACAGAGAACCACACCAAACCCATTCATTCACATCAGATGTCCTGTCTGGTATGTATCACACACATAGACTGTCCAAAAGAGCAGAGGAGGCAGGCAGGACTTACCGCCTGGTGGACAGAAGAAGAGGCCAGTGGTTAGTAGGTGAGGAAAGGAGGTGACTGGAAGAGACTGGTAGGAAGATAGGCTGGAAGACACGTAGATGAGACAGAGCACATGGGGGAAGGAAGGCTGCTGAGTAGTTGGCACAGTCCCCAAGGCATATTTGTTATGAAACAACTGGATGCTCTGCTCCGTGGCTGAGCATGGCTACACCAGGCTGTGGATTCCCTCCTGCCGCCCAGGGCTGCTCTGCAGCAGCTGGGCCTGTGGGGTGATTGTGAGCTGCGCCAGCCCTACGGCATTCACAACTCTCTGGCCGGCTTCACCCGCTGGCACTTGTGACGCCAATTTGCTCAAAAGGGCCCGAGACTGGGGTGGGTTTATTCTGCCTCTGGTTGGGTGCTAGCCACTGAGCTATTTTGGGATTCACAGCCTTGACTATCAAGAGGAAAAGGAGGAGGAGGAAAGAATCAAGAGTTCTCCATAAATGTATACAATAGCACACAAACTTCAGCCCATGGGAAATGGAGGTGCTTTGGGCATGTGACCTGTTTCCTTTCATCTGTACAGAGGTCACCCCTAGGAAAGGGGTGGATGTCTGTGACAAAGGACAGCCCCCATGGTGGGGAGTGAAGGTCTTGCGTGGTATACACACTTGTACAACAGCAACCAGAGGCAACATTCCTTCTCCCTCCTGAACTGGGTGTTCCCCCCTCTTCTCTCATGGTCTTTGTGCCCAGCTGTGTCTTGAACTTCCACAATTAAGAGGACTAAATCCTGCAGAGTCCCAGACTGCAATGTGAAGAACCACAGGGTCATCCGGCCCAGGGGTTTTGTTCTTGGTTCTGCCCTCTGGGAATTTGAGCTGTACCAAAAATAATTTTAAAAAAAAGTGCAACACAAGCAATAAAACCTCACGCTCAGAAAACATCCACCTCATTCATTCATTCACTCATTCATTCCTCCCTCTCTCCCTCTCCCTCTCTTGTAGGGATTTGCAGCTGCAGTGTTGGCATCCCTAGAGGCCTGGCCCCTCCTGATACTTCTTAGGTCTCCCTGCCTCCACTTGGGCCACTAAACCGCTACAGTGATAGACAACAGTCATAATGCAATATTTCCATTGAAAAGGTGGAAAGGAAAAAAGAAAACCACCCAAAATACACGCACGAGCACACACACGCACACACACATCACAGCGTTACTCCAAGGCTCCGATCTGCCGAGGGAGTGCAGTGGGGAGGACAGAGTGGCCTCTTGTTAACTGGGTGTAAGGCAGCTGGAAGGTCAGACTGGGTTTTCTGAGCATCCACCGAAGCGTCCTTTCATTGATGTGGGTCGTGCCTCTCAGCGCGTCCTCTCCCCTTCCCACCTCTAAAGCTTTGTCCACAAGTTTGGCCACAAAGAGAAAACGTGCTTTTCCACTTGTTTTCTCATCCATTCTGTGTGTGTTGCTGGTGGGCCAGGAAGGAGCTCAGAACAGGAAGAGCAGAAAATGAAGTGGTTCTGAAATGGCCCCAGAGACGTGGTTACATTCTATGGACTAGGGGCCGCGCTTCCCTGTGAGATGAATGGGGGTTGGTGTCCTCTCTTGCTGGCCCGGGGCATGGCATTTCCTTCTCTATACCTGGGTTGCTTCAGACCACTGCCACTGTCCCTTCCAGCTCGCCACCACATGCTCATGAGTGACGGGGATCAAGGTGCTATCCCAAGTGGTGATGTTCGCTCTGTCTTCAAGAAACCATGAAGCCAAAAGTCAAGAATTGATGGAAGAGCCACAGGATGGGAACGCTGTCCCCATCTTGGTGATGAAACAACACGAAGTCCGGTGAGATGCAGGTGCCTGAGCCAACTCAACTCTACCTTGGCACTGGCATCGTCTTGATTTAGTTTTGTTTTATATATGTATATTATATATATATTTATATATATATATATATATATGTATGGGTTTGTATTTTAGCACACTGTCCCATTCTCGGGTCTGGATTTAGGGTGGTTGGTCCTCGGGACAGGTTGGACAGAGGGGGCCAAGGTACAGAAGAATCCCGAGATGAGCGTGAGGCCCAGGCCCCCCCACGCACAGAACATGGACCATCCATAGCCATGGCTGATGTCGTCAGGGAGTCCATACAGGTAGCGTGGGTAGCGCGACAGCTCAAAGTTGATCCCAGCCACACAGGTGCACAGTGAAATGATGCAGAAGGTTCCTGGAGAAGAAAGGAAACAAATATGGGGTGGGGAAATGGAGGAGGAAAGGGAAAAGGAGGAGAGAGAAAGAGAGAAGTTAGGATTATACGTTTTCATTTTCTTGACCAGGAGAAGTGAGGAGATCTGGGTAAGAGCAGGTTATTACCAAGGGTGCCATCTGAAAGTACAGCAGGGAGAAGAAGAATACTAAATGATCATCATTCTCTTATTCTCCAATAATTCCCCAGGCTTTGACAAACTCAGGAAGTCTCTTAGTTGGGAAAGTATCCCAAATAAATGTCTCATTAGCATTTCCTATGGGGTGGAATGAGGCAGGAGATCATTCAGTTCCTTTCTCTAAACCATTTTGAACTCATTGTCTTTCTTTGGAGATACAGAAAAGATCTCATTTGGTACTTCTTTAATGGGAAAAATATCTGGTTTTCTTTCTTATACAGAACATCTTGTACAATGTTAAGTATTCCTGTCATTTATTCACTAACAACTCTTTGGCCACCAATAGAAAATGTTCCTTCTCAGTTTGTCTTTTCAGATTTCCAACTCCTGGATATCCTTTCCTGTTTCCTATAAGACAACCTTTCCCAAAGTATTCTCCATGGGAAACTAAGCCTCTGAAATCCTTTGCAATAATCTGCATGTCCCAAGGCCATTAAGGCAGACGTACAGAGGACAGTCCAGAGGTAGGGGGACAGCAAGGAGGCTATTGCAGTCATCAGCAAGTAGGTATGAGGCTCTAGTAAGGTGCGCACAAAGCCTGAAGATTATAATGACTTAGTGAATGATTGCTTTTAGAATGGTTATTTGTTGAGACAACTGAAAATATTATCAGGTGCTTACTGGATATAAGCATAGTATAGCTAAAATATGTCCTGTGTATCTCTACGTATGTTTACGGGTGCACATGTATATGTATGCATTTGAAGTCTAGGCAGGAAGGATTGGGAAGTGATCATAGCTGCCAGGAAATGAGTATACAACAAGGACTTTGAGGGTATATCTTGTCCCTGGCCTCTTTCTCTCCGGCTTTTCCCCTCTCTCTTCATTTCCTGGCAGCTACGAGGAGAGCAACCTCCTCCTCCATACGCTCCCACTGCCATGATGTTCTGCCTCACCCCGCCCCAAAGCAATGGAGCCAGACTACCAAAACCTCTGAAGCCATGAGCTAAAATAAACATTTCCTCCCTTAATCTGGCTTTCTCAGGTATTTAGTCACATGGATGGAAAGCTGACTAACACAGGCATCTTCTGGCCAACTCCTCTGTGATTTTGGAACCTTTAAAAAGTTCCTCTTGTCATAAGCCATGAATGATGACTCTTGGGAAAATAGGACAGGAGGACAGCTGTGATGCTTGAGGCGAGCCAGGACTACATAGTGCGTTCAAAGACAGCCTGAACTGTGTAGTGAGACCCTGTCTCATACCCACCCCCAAATTCCTGTCAATACCCCCATAGACAGGAAAATCTTATTGTTCTCACTGAAAGTGACCTTTTCAGTGGGCCATGTATGAAATTTGCTGGGAAATTCCCCTCCACAAAGGTGGAACAATTGGAACAAGCTTTGTTTGCTTCCACGTATGCTACTCTTTTCTGTTACGAACAAGGATTTATATTTTTATGTACTTCCCTGATTATAAACTCAAATGGGAAAGTGTATCTTAATAATAAGAAATAGACAGATACAGGCATATAGATTCTTAAGAAATGGATCAAATGAAAAATGTGCTGCCTTCTCTCCCTAAGCACTGTATTCTGATAGTCTAATCAGTGATGTGCTTTGACAAATATCAATCCAGTCCTGGAGAGTCAGGGAAAAGGAAAACCAAGCCGGATCAAGGGCCATGAGTGACTGAGCTCTCTGATGCAATGGGTGCAATTCTGCCTGTAGACTGGTAGTGAACTGGAAGGGGCCAGAACTTTCCCCACCCACTTGCTGGTGTTAGGTGATAGCCTCTGAGGAATGAAATACAGATTTTAAATGGCTTTTTTTTGGGGGGGGGATATGCATCAATGGAAAGACAGCAATATCTATCACAGCCTCCTTCATTCACTAAAAGTGCAAATAGCACAGGACCGCAAGAGCTACTGACACATACAAGGGGGCTTCTGTTTAGCAAAGTCCATACTTAGCCCTCTCTATGGGAAATATGAAGCCATAGCCCATGGCCTCCAAGGCTAGGTCTTTAGACTTTGTCACTGTGTTTCTCATGAGCACCTAGTGAGGTCCCAGAAAGGCAATAGTCACAATGTACAACCTATAATCATATCTTCTTAGAACCTCCCCCCAGCATGGGTTTATGGGTTTTGGTCTAATCCAATCATACCCCAATACTAACTGGAGCTATAGCATAGTAAGTAAGTGAAAAGAATTCAACTTTCAAACCCTTCCACTGGGGAACAAGGATCTTGCCTATACTGGGAACACTGGCTGTAAGCAGTTCCAAGTGTCACCCTAGCCCGGCAGCAGTGACGGCAGCAGTGGGGGCTGTAATAAGTAGCATCAGGTTTGGAGTAGTGTCAGGTTATCTGTGATGGGTGGGTTAGTGGGTTCTATAGAATGCAGAATTGATGAGGAGCAGAGAGTTGTTAAACTTCTATGGACCTAGCAAGATACAAAGGAGGAAAAGATATCATCCCTACCCTTAAGAATCTTTAATTAAATCTAAAATAAAAAGCTAAAAAAAGGAGCTTATGATCTAGTATGGATGGAGACATGCATAAATGAAAAGCAGAGGATGAAATGAAAATAGCACCAGAGTAGGGATGAAGAGAGCTGAGTTTATCATCAGCTCTGGACCTCATCTGGGAAGTCAGGGAGTGGGGGTAGATGATTTTAAGGTCCTTACCAAGTCTAGTAGTGCTAGGAAGAGAAGGAATAAGATGGTGTCTTGGTTACTTTTCTCTGCTTGCTGGGACAAAATACCCACTACCCAAAAGTGAGGAGGAAAAGGTTTATTTAGTTCACAGTTTACGGAGGTTTCAGCCATACTTGGCTGGCCCCAAGGCACAGTGGCACATGGCAGAGGGCAACAGTTCATGGTGGTGGAAGATAGCAAAAGCAACAAGAGCAAAAAGGGAGGAGTAAGAGAGCAAGCCTTTTTTCTTCCCTTATATTGTATGCAGGCTGCCCACTGCAGGGCAGGAGTAGCACTCACACCCATAATCCCAGCACTGGACCGTGAGTCCATCAAAAACTCTAGAAGCCCACCCTATGACTGCATAAGGCTTTGGGGGGACATCCAGACACAAACCATAACAGATGGCAAGAGTAATTCTGATACAGACAGTAATGCTGGATGAGGGAGGGTTGCCTGTGGAAGTGGGTCTGGACAGAAGAACGAGATATTGATGGGAAATAAACAGAAGGGGCTCCTCACCCAGTCAGGGCCCCTACTGTCCTGGAAATCTATGCCTGAGGTGAGACAGTATGCTACACACCCCTCCCTGCACCTGCAACTATGAAATGTTCACCGCTACCACCCAAGTCGTTTCTACCATTTCTCACATGAGCCACTACCATAGATCACTGCCATCCTGCCCTCTCCTTTTGCCCCACACAGCAGCCAGTGATATTTTTAAAATGTAATCCATTGATGATTCTTACCCTTCAATAGCTTCCAATAAATACAATCCAAACTTCTGTACCCTGCCCACCTGGCCTTACCTAAGTGGCTACCACCTACCTAAGAGGGAGTTTCCCACCTTGACCCCCACACTCACCACACTGTAGCCACACTACAGAGCATTCTGTCTCACACTCACTAAGCATCTTTTACCTCAGGGCCTTTGCATTTGCTGTTCTCATGCCAAGATGGTCCTCTGGCTCCTCCTGGACCTCAATTCAACTGTCACCCCCAGAAAGATTCTCTCTGCCTTCTTCTAAAGCAGTACTTGCCCTAGTAGTTTTCAAATCACATTCCAAAAGATACCTTGGGAAGAGGGAAGAGGGAAGGAGCAGAAGAGACTGCCAGATCGCTGTCCTCTCTTTGAATAGAATAGCTCTGCGTTGATCTGTTACCATGGGCCATTTCACTGGAAGAAAAGATTCTAGAGACTTCAACATCTCTGCCAACCACTGGTCTTGTCCATTCTCAAGGGGAGGCTAAAATATGTCCTCGCAGGAACTCTCCTTTGGATGGCAAAGCCCAGTGGCTGCTCTATCAGTAGCAAATCCACACTGTTGGCAGAAAGCGTTCATCAATCTCAATTTTCAGTGCTTCTGGTCCTACAAAGGGCCTCAGACTCCTCCTATGCAGCCCTCCAGGCAGATGGCAGCAGCCAGCCAGTTGAAGCTGGCTGGGATGAGAAATAAAAATTAATTACCCTCTCTGCACCAGGATTCTGCATGGGCTTGGAGTTTGGGGCCCAGTTAGGGGAAGATATGGCACCACCCCAAGCAGCTGCAGGCTAAGAGTTTGCACTGACAAGACCTGGGGTATGCAGGGAGCAGCTCCCGTCTAGACGCCCTGGTTGTTGTGGCCCCCTGTTCGGAGATTCCATCTGGGAGTGGGAAGCCGTGATACACGGAGTAATGAGCTGTGTACACACACGCGCTGTCCTTTGACATGGCACCTGCTTCCTCTGATGTCTGCCCCACGTGAAGTCCTTTCAGTGAACTGGATGAACAAGGCCGCCTTGTAACCTCCCACCCTGCTCTGGACACTCATCTCCCTGAGTCAGTACCTGGCTGGAGAAGGGGAAGCTGTTGCAGAATTCTGGGATTGCTGCCCCCTAGCGGCGCCCTCCACTCCAGGGAGGATAAAAGAGAGGAACTTGTTTTCATGCCCAGAAATAGCAAATACAGCTTCCTCATCCATCTTCACATTGCTGCCAGGTCTAATTGATGTTTCTCTGGTTGCCAAATACTAGACTCTCATTTTCTTGCTAGTTTTAGTTGCTTGGCTATTAAGACAACTTCCGCCTGCTTGGATATCTCTTTCTTCAGTTTCCAAGCTGCCCTGGAACCAGGCTGCGTTGCACCTCTCTAGCTGTTCCTTCTCAG